CAATGAAGATGAGGATAACAGTCCGAATAATGCAAATGAGCTTCTTGCTATTTGATTACATCCCCCCTCGCAACAACACCCTATTTCCCTAACGGGTAATTTTTGTCATTGAAGTCCCTAGGTTGAACGGGACTTGTGTAATATTTGCTTTTCCTGTTAGAGGCAAATAAACACTCTCCATCTTATCACCAACGACACATATTTTTTTCTTGTCTTCCCCCATAGTATTTCATTGGCCATTCCAGTGACATTTTTATTTGTACCGTAATGAAAGGTTTCCACTTTAACCTCGAGACCCTGCGATCTTTGACTTTTGGCCTTTTCCTATCTGGGAGTCTCCGGGTATTTGGCAAGTTAAAATAACAATATGAAACCTTACACTGTTGCGTTCAATCTTATCATGTCGTCCTTTATCCGCGTGTTGGAATAATGAACACAAATGTTTAAATTATCTGGAAGTGTTGATTTTCTTTCATTCTCTAGCAGACGAAACACGCCGCCATTTTGAAATAGTCATTGACGTCAAATGAAGATATATATATATATATATATATATATATATATATATATATATATATATATATATATATATATATGCATCGTCTTTTTCTGCTATTTTAAGAGTTAATCGTTTTATTTTATTTATTTAAGTGCCAATATTTATCTATCTATTTTTGCTGGCAACCAAGTGATTGAGAAGACTGAAACTCAGTCTGTTCATATCTATCTATCTATCTATCTATCTATCTATCTATCTATCTATCTATGTCTCTGTATGTATGCGCATGTGTATTATTATTTTTATGCACCACTCTCCCAGAACTGGGTACCTAAGTGTTTCATTGAAAAATGTGTGACCGCTAACAAAATGGACACTTATGCATAACACTTGGAGTATCAGTTGAATATTGTAGGGTCCATAAAAAAAGGAAAGACGTCTTTGAAAATCTGTTACTCACAGATCAGATTGAAGGCCGGTGAGACTGAGGAAACCAGCGCATAATCTACCTAGCGACCTTCAGTAAATGGATGCCGGAACAAGGTTTAGAAAAGCTGACGAAAAGACAATATTAACTAAGAGCTACAATGGACAGGAAATGATTTGATAGCCATAGTCGCCAATATCTTGAAGGAACACGGCAGAAAAGAAGAAGAATTGCTTAATATGAAAACTTAACCAAACAAGTCTAAACGCAGTCGGGATCAAAAACTCATTTGATCATTTAATCTCCACAATACTTTCATTAGCGGGATACAGAATGTGCTTCGCTAGGCGTACATATGATTTTTGACATCAGGGTTTTTCTTTTCCTAGACTGGTTGCCAACCAAGCCCGGTCTGCTCTACCATTTAAACCATAGATGGAGAGAGAGAAGAGATGAATTTATACCTTTTCCATTTGCGCGTAAGTGAAAGTAACGAAATCGACCGGAATTCGAACTCTGATTTATGCATTCCGTGGCGCTATTCATATCACCACCTGCACATCCACGGAAGCATAAAACAGGCGTCAAAAAAAGATGTTTGATAAATGATAAGTCATAATGGCGACTATCTGAAATAAATATGAGGAAAATATCTCGAGACAGAAAGCATGACAAAACTGGAAAGGGATATTTACATTTTAGCACGGCTTGGTTGTTTTTTATGGATTATCACCACTTTGCCGGTTATTTAAAGTAAGAAGATAATTTTTATATTCTAAGAATTTCTTTGTTTTTAGATAGTAATGGTTTAGTGATACAAATCTTACTAATTAACCCATAGCTGGGGAGAGAAGAGATGGAATAATACCTAATCTGAATTTGATAAAACAAACAATAAATTACATGTGGATATAAAGTGGGTGATCAATTCTATATTGCAATTAGTATATAAACTGATCCCTCAATTTGTATCCACGGTAGTTTCTATACATTTTTATTCCAGATAATGTAAATAGATTTAAAAAAACATGCCTGGGTAGCTAATCAGTATTTCATTGATTGATTCATTTTTTTACGACTTATCAACCCTGTGCAGGTTACTTAAAGCTAGAAAATATTTTTAGATTGTAAGAATGTTTTTTTTTAGATAATAATGGTTTCGTGATACAAACCTTACTAATTAACCCATAGCTGGGGAGGAGAAGAGGTGGATTCATACCTAATCTAAATGTGATAAACAAACAATAAATTATGTCTGGATATAAAGTGGGAGATCAAGTCTATATCACAATTAGTATATAAACTGATCCCTCACTTTGTAGTCACATTTATATTCTAGATAATATAAATAAAAAAAAATCATGCTTGTGTAGCTAATCAGTATTTCATTGATTGATTCGTTTTCTACGACTTATCAACCCTTTCCAGGTTATTTAAAGCCAGAAAATATTTTTAGATTGTAAGAGTTATTTTTTTTTTTTGATAATAATTGTTTAGTGATAGAAATCTTACTAATTAACCCATAGCTGGGGAGGAGAAGAGGTGGATTCATACCTTTCCCAAACACTATGGTGGCCCAAGGGGTCTTGTACAGAGTGAACCTTTCTCTCTCTCTCTCTCTCTCTCTCTCTCTCTCTCTCTCTCTCTCTCTATATATATATATATATATATATATATATATATATGAGTGGTGGTGGTTCAGTCATACCGACTTCGAAGTTTCGTGATCACATTGCAGTAATGCTTTTACTCTATTAACGGTCTGTCCTTACCTTTTGATATCGAGCCCTTTATGACAAAAACCTGCCTGCCTGCCTGCTTAAAATGCGTTCCCACCAATAAACTACGGAAAATTGACCAGCAGTTTAGGCATCTAAAAACTCTTACAACTTAATACTATATATATATATATATATATATATATATATATATATATATATATATATATATATGTTATTTGTGTGTGTGTGTGTATTTAGGAGCAAATTCTCTTTTAAGTATGTCTTATTGAATAAATTACAGACATTATGTCTGCTAATTTTTAATAAAATCCGTTCATACTCACGAATAATCTTCCGTGTATTGATGTTAAAGGATGAGAGAAATGTGCTATTGCGGTTTAAATTTCTTTTATTTTCAAATCCTAAGCACTTTCAATCGTCTTCCAAGATCATCTTCAGGTGTGCAAGTAATATAAAACTATATATTGTTCAATAGTACAAGTATTTATACAAAGCGGTGTGTGTATATATATATATATATATATATATATATATATATATATATATGCATCGTTTTTTCTGCTATGTTTAAGAGTTAATCGTTTTAATTTATTTATTTAATGGCAATATTTATCTATCTCTCTCTCTCTCTCTATATATATATATATATATATATATATATATATACACATTATGAAATGGACAAAATGACAATTGTTTTTAAGAAATTTAAAAAAAAAAGAATGTATAAACATAAAAAAAATATATATATATATATATATATATATATATATATATATATATATATATATATAAAGCTCAAAAACTAATATTCCTTGGTTATAATTTATTACATTGGAATTATAATCATGGTCCTATTCATCAGACTCCCCCCACACATATATGTATAAATAAAGCTCAAACAGTAATATATTCTTGGTTATAATTTATTACATTGGAATCATAATCATGGTCCAATTCATCAGGCTCATACACACACACACTATACACACATACATACATATATATATATATATATATATATATATATATATATATATATATATATATATATATATATTATCAATTCATTCCAAACAAAGCGATAATGTCACTAAAAGATATGGGAGGCGGTAGTAAAAGCCTACAAAAATGAGCTTATCACGGAAGAACTGAACCAACTTCTGGAGGAAATGTCTTCAGAGGAAGTGGTAAGAAGAGGAGAAATTTCTAGTCCTCTCTCCCAGAAACGAATTGATTCATATGTGGGAAATCGTTTCAGTTTCCGAACATTTCGGGTCGCGGACAGTTCTTCAAAAACGAATGTAACTCGTCAACCAGTATTCCACCATCGAGAGGTCGTTTTATCTCTAATCAACCAATAGCCACAGCTAATCCTCTCAGAAAAAAAATGAGAAAATATCTTCCTTGATCGGCTTTATTGATAAATCCCAAATATTCAATCTGTATCTATCATAGTTTTAGAATCAGAGCATCGTAATAATTCACTGTATTCACAGTCTAGCCCGGGATTGAACTCACAATTTCTGACACCAAATTCACTAAATAGCGTTTTAAACTCCTATGCTATTTTCTAACTACGTCATAGTGGCTAGCATTAGCCGTTCTGATGGAAGACAAAAAAATTTCTTAAAGATGATTAATAGAGAGCAAATCGATAAACTGCATCCGGCAGCAAAGATTCTGATTGGGAGACTGAGGTGCATGTAATGACCCCTTAATTACTGTTCTATCAACGGTCGTAGCACTTGTTAGGATCCCAGCTATGGTCACATAGTTCAGGCTCAAACAAAAGTAAAACATTATGAAAGATAAAAAAAATATATATATTTTTATAGTAAAAATTACAGTAATAAATTTTTATTAAAAAATTACCAAGAATACATATTTATAATAAAAATACAAACAATGCATATTTATAGTAAAAATACATATAATACATATTTATAGAAAAAATGCAAACAATACATATTTATAGTAAAAATAAGAATAATACATATATATAGTAAAATACAAATAATACATATTTATAGTAAAAATAAGAATAATACATATTTATAGTAAAAAATACGAACAATACATATTTAGAGTAAAAATACAAATAATACATATTTATAGTAAAAATACAAATAATACATATTTATATTAAAAATACAAATAATACATATTTATATTAAAATACAAATAATACATATTTATAGTAAAATACAAACAATACCTATTTATAGTAAAAAAAATACAAACAATGCATATATATAGTAAAAAATACAAATAATACATATTTATAATAAAATACAAATAATACATATTTATAGTAAAAATACGAACAATGCATATTTATAGTAAAATACAAGCAATACATATTTATAGTAAAATATAAACAATGCATATTTATAGTAAAAATACAAATAATACATATTTATAGTAAAAATACAAACAATACATATTTATAATAAAAATACAAATAATACATATATATAATAAAAATACAAATTATACATATTTATAGTAAAAATACAAGCAATACATATTTATAGTAAAAATACAAATAATACATATATATAATAAAAATACAAATAATACATATTTATAGTAAAAATACAAACAATACATATTTATAATAAAAATACAAATAATACATATATAATAAAAATGCAAATAATACATATTTATTTTAAAAATACAAATAATACATATTTATAGTAAAAATAAAAATAATACATATTCATAGTAAAAATACGAAGAATACATATTTATAGTAAAAATACAAATAATACATATTTATAATAAAAACAAACAATACATATTCATAGTAAGAATACAAATAATACAAATTTATAGTCAAAATACAAACAATACATATTTATATTAAAAATACAAAATAATACATATTTATAATAAAATACAAATAATACAAATTTATAGTAAAAATACAAAAAATACCTATTTATAGTAAAAATACAAATAATACATATATATAGTAAAAAATACAAAAATACCTATTTATAGTAAAAATACGAAGAATACATATTTATAGTAAAAATACAAATAATACATATTTATAATAAAAAAACAAACAATACATATTCATAGTAAGAATACAAA